CTCTGAGACTCGACGAGCCGAGCGGCGGCGGCGGCGGCGGCGGCGGCGGTGGCGGCGGCGCTGCTTCAGGTTCATCGGTTTACGTAAGAGTCAGATGGTAGATCAGAGCTGCTTTTATGAAAGGAGGTTATTGTGCAGCTCAGGATAAGCAGAGATGGATGGAGAGATGAGCTGATAACTGAGCTGAACGTTTCTCTGTAATCTATCTTAAAAAYACAAACACACCTTCAGCTGTTTATAAAGACAGAAGAGCCGAATCTGTGAAACGAGAGGACGAAACTTGGTTTTATTCAAAGCTTTGAGGATTAATCCTGACTGTCATGATGACGAGCTTTCTAAACCATCTGAGGTTCTTCAGGAACAAGACTTTTATCTTTCTGCAGACGAAGTTTCCTCGTTCTGAACTTGACTTTTCATGAATTTGTCCTCCACATGTGTTTTATTAAAACCTGCTCCACAGGTCAGGTTTGTTCAGACTTTTCTTTTTCAGGACATCTCTGCCAGAATTCAAAGGATCAACCTTTTTATGATGGGCTCTCCCACATGTTTTAGATTTTCACTCCCTGCTCCTCCGTGTGCAGATGTTGGAGGTTCATGGACGAGTTGGAGAGCAGATCTGAGGTCCTGAAACTGAAGCTGCCGGCTTGACTCAAACCAGCTGCAGAGACAGAGACAGAGAGGAGGAACCAGGACTCGGTTTTCTACCTGGATGTTGGGGTTCTGGGAGCCCACGTCGGCATTCGCCAGCTCCGGGACGTTCCTCAGATCCAGGACGAAGACGTCGAGGTCCTCGTCAGGTACAGGTGGGGGGACACCTGGCTGTGAGGACCAGCGGTGTCTGGATGTTGGAGGAGCTACAGGAAGCGTCTGCAGCAGGTTCTCYTGTTGGAGCTGCTCCAGATCCAGATCTCTTCTGTCCGGTTTGAGCTGCAAACAAACAGCTGTTAGTCGGACAAGATGTGAAATAAAACAAATATATGTTTATTGTTTCAAAATGATGTTTTAAAAAAGACGTTTTTAAAAGCATCTGGCTGCTTTTAAAGAATGTTTTTCAAATTAAGAGACACTCATCATCAGAAGCTAAAAACATTTCTGAATACTGAGTGAATAAAACACAGTGATAAGAGATTTAGCATAACTAAAGAAACTAAATCTTCTGTGACGACGCAGTTAAAATGCAGATGTGGCTGAAGTTTGCTGAAGAAGCTGAAACTGAGTTGAAGCTTCTGTTCAAGTTAAAACACAGAAGCTAAAATAAACAGAATTCGATAAAAGAAGAACTGTAGCTAAAACTACTAAAAAGGAGCAAATAAGCTAAAAGCAACACTACAATGAGAAGAAAGTAGCAAAAAGCTGAAAGGATCTAAACAAGCTAAAACAGAAAAATGGTAACTAAAAGCTAAAACTAACAGAAGAGTAGCTAATATCTAAAAAGGAGCAGAACTTAGCCTGAAGTCGAAATGAGCACAATGTAGCTGAAAGCTAACACGAGCAGAATGGTTGCTGGAAGCTAAAAGATGTAGAAGGATAGCTAAAAGCTAAAATACATAGAATAGTAGCTAAAATGAGCAGAATTTAGCCTGAAGTTAAAATGAACACAATGTAGCTGAAAGCTAACAAGAGCAGAATGGTTGCTGAAGCAAAAAGATGCAGAATGGTATCCAAAAGCTAAAATAAGCAGAATAGTAGCTAAAAGCTAAAATGAGCAGAACTTAGCCTTATGTTAAAATGGACACATTGTAGCTGAAAGCTAACAACAGCAGAATGGTTGCTGGAAGCTAAAAGATGTACTGTAGAAGGGTATCTGAAAGCTAAAATTAGCACAATAGTAGCTAAAAGCTAAAATGAGCAGAACTTAGCCTGAAGTTAAAATGAACACAGTGTAGCTGAAAGCTAACAAGAGCAGAATGGTTGCTGGAAGCTAAAAGATGTAGAAGGATATCTGAAAGCTAAAATTAGCACAATAGTAGCTAAAAGCTAAAACGAGCAGAACTTAGCCTGAAGTTAAAATGAACACAGTGTAGCTGAAAGCTAACAAGAGCAGAATGGTTGCTGGAAGCTAAAAGATTAAGAAGGGTAGCTGAAATCTAAAATAAATAGAATAGCAGCTAAAAAGAGCAGAACTTAGCCTGAAGTTAAAATGAACACAATGTAGCTGAAAGCTAAAAAGAGCAGAATGGTTGCTGGAAGCTGAAAGATGTAGAACGGTATCCAAAAGCTAAAATAAGCAGAATAGTAGCTAAAAATAGCAGAACTTAGCATGAAGTAAAAATGAGCACAATGTAGCTAAAAGCTAACAAGAGCAAAATGGTTGCTGGAAGCTGAAAGATGAAGAAGGGTAGCTGAAAGCTAAAATTAGCATAATAGTAGCTAAAAGCTATACTGAGCAGAACTTAGCCTGAAGTTTAAATGAGCACAATGTAGCTGAAAGATAACAAGAGCAGAATGGTTGCTGGAAGCTAAAAGATGAAGAAGGGTAGCTGAAAGCTAAAATAAATAGAATAGTAGCTAAAAAGAGCAGAACTTAGCCTGATGTTAAAATGAACACATTGTAGCTGAAAGCTAACAAGAGCAGAATGGTTGCTGGAAGCTAAAAGATGTATAAGCGTGTCTAAAAGCTAAAATAAGCAGAATCGTAGCTAAAAATTAAAATGAGCAGAACTTAGCCTGAAGTTTAAATGAGCACAATGTAGCTGAAAGCTAATAACAGCTGAATGGTTGCTGAAAGAAGCAGAAAAAAATACTAAAATGAGCAAAACAATAGCTGTGATTTTGCTTTTAGCTTTTTTTAGCTGTTAGCAAATCCATAGCCATGTGCTGAAATTAGCAAAACATTACCTAAAAGTTTAAATTAGTTGAACATTCAACATTACCAACTTTTAAAAACTGTTACGGCCAGAGGTCTTTCTTCTATGTTTATACTAAAGCATGGAATGACAT